GCTTAATAACCTGGCGTCTCTCTTTCTCTACTGTGCTGATCGTTCGTGTCGTCGCGGAATCTCTGCCGCGGAAAATCACGATGAGAAAGCCGATTTGTTAGTCCGGTGGTTCAATATTCGTTAGTCAGGCCGCATCAACACCTTCCGATCCGCAAGGCCGTGGCTTCCCGTGAAATCGTCTTTAATCAGACGGCCGAAGTCGATCGCGCTCGATTAACCGTGATTGCGCGCCGCGTCAAATAAAAATAAAATAAAATACTTGATCTAGAAAGAAGTCTAAAGGCTAAAGAATCATAAAAACATATAATGTAAATGTAAAATGGAGAAAGCATTTCTATTACATCAAGATACCTCATCTTTCGATTTAAAAAAATTAATTAATTAGTTACAATATACGACATTACAGTAGCATCCCAAAGATATATAGCAGTATTTACAAAAACGATAATTTCTCATATGCCATATGTTTGGCAAGAATGATCTGTAAGTATGTATCATAATCGTTTCATCATATACATCTAAAAAAAATTACGCACTTACTTCCGGATTGATCTCAATCGCAGGCTCATCGATCGCCGCGGTCAGAGGAAGCGTCAGCTGTGCACGTGGAAAGTCTAGAGAATCGCGTAAGAAATTGCGCGGAAGTAATCGCTTTGCAAATTACAACGCAACCGTGCGAAGGCTAAGTTCTCTTTCTCAGGTTTCTCAGGTTATATTTTCTCGTAGATTTTTCTTCACGACTAACTTCTCACATACATGAATCATAGTGTGCCGTGTGGTGAAATTCATGGTTGGAATAGCTAGCGTGTTCCTTAAATTAATGTATCTTTAAGAAACTACTTGTACACTTTAAGTAATTAACCCATTTTTTAAGTCGAAAGATATATCTTTATATAATAGAAATTTTCTCAAATTTAATATTTCTTTCTAAAACACAACACGCGGAAGGGCATGGTTGGAGAGACACACACGGGCATCTCAGACGCGGGATATGCGCTTCTTCGGACCGCTTTCGGGGAACTTTTTTCAGCATCACGTTATAACGGTAATTCCGCTCGGACTGTAATTGAAAGACAGCAGCGCACACAACGCGGCAGCAACAGCAGCAACGGCGGCGGCTTAATTGCACTAGGTCGAAATCATCGAGGGAACAATCATCGAGGGACAGAAGACGAAGGAACCCTCTTCTCTACTGCGGCCCGTTCTTCGAAAGTCGTTTACAAGAGAGAGGGCCAAGAGAGGAGGTGACCCCCGATAACTCCAGGTCGGAGCGAGGCAACGCTCCGGCTCCTAAGCTCCCATTATTCGTCGGGTTCGACCGAAATTGTCGATCGTTACGGAAGCGTGGATTTGCTTGCCTTCTCGCTGGCAAACACACGCATCATACTTTAACCCGGTAATTTACATTTGATATTTATAATTTAATCATTTTCGCTCATGATTGCGGCTCTTTCCCGAGATACCACGGCAAAACGATGGATAGCTACGAGAGAAACAAGTTATAATCATTCTTATTTTTGTGCGCGCTGTCTCTTGAAAAAAATATACATTTTGCGAATTAGTACAGAATTTCCTATTATTCAGTATTGCTATTTTAAGTTTATAAGCAACATCAAATATTCAATAGTCTCTAATAAATTGATACATGCATAAGTTCACAGGTGTGCTTATAAACAACAATAAAAATGTTACGTGTGTATCGGCTTCCAGCATCACAACATGATGACCGAACAATTATGTTAAATTCATGTAAAAAGACACTCACATATGTACGGTAAAACCTGATATTAATTATAGCGTCAACATACATTTCTAGTGCATATATGGCAAACTAATAAGAAGCTCAAACCGTATAACAGATGTTTAATAATATAAGTTCCAGTAACATTAAATATGAAGAGTCAAGATTATTACGTCTATTGGATGGAATAAGTAAGTTTACGAACGAAGACTTGCGCGGCATTGTCGTTTCTGAACGAAGCTATCTGGGAGAGTGCACAATAAGAAGGAGAGACGCAGTAAGAAAATTATGAAGTGCGAGTGACGGGGCAACATCCGCAAAAAAAAAAACTATACTTATGCCGTAAGTGCGTAATCTCTCTTGGCTGAGAACAAGAAGAAAGATGTAGTGCCGCCCTTCTATCCTTGTGCAACTCGTGAGAGAGACGCATTAAAGTAGTAGTTGTCCAGCGATATGTTACGCACAATGATACACAAAAACAGTCAACGATTACGAGGATAACGTAAAGAGATGCCGATTAATTAAAAGTAAATTTTCATCATTGATATCCGATGGAACAGAATAAAATCTTTTTCCCGTGATGTGAAACTCAATCGCATTTTGAAACAGTCCTTGTACGCAATAATCATAGTTTCTCTTAGTTATACTAATTCTATCAAGTATAAAAAGCTGTTTTTTCTTGACAATTTGATGGACTTATTTTTTTAGTTATTTTTCACACTGAACGTGAAAATATATTAATCTGTAAAAACATACATATAAATCAGATATTATTTTTATACGGTTGCAAGAAAATGACGGAGTTTCTTATCACATCAATATTTAAGGGCACAAGTAAATTATAATAAACTGCATCGAATGAATCATCGTCTCTCTCGCCTCTATTTATCTAATCGCTTCACTTTACAGTAGTTTGCTCATGATTTGCTTTAATGTGAATGATTAATATACATATAATCATTTTTTATACGTTGACATTGAAATTAAAATGACTTTGATAAATGCAATAATCTTCTTAATTAATCAATTAATTTGGTTTCGCGTAATATATATTTAATATGTCTATGGTATAATATATCAACGAATAATTTAGCTATCAACTAAATTATGTAATCGTATGAGCGAGTTTATTAAGTAAAAGTCGATTTTGCTAGTACATGTGAAAGCAATAAAAAACATGCAATAGAAGCAATAAGAACGTGAGGAAATTATTAAGTATTAAGTGTTCGTTTCTCATAATTTGTAAATTTGTAGAATGCTTCGCTACTCCATTTTTAATATAATCAAGAATGACAATTCTGTCATTGAGTTAAATTGTAATATATATTATTTTTTGTACACATTTAAACTGTGTATGCTAATGAAAAATAAATTTCTCTTTTCATCTCTCTCTCTCTCTCTCTCTCTCTCTCTCTCTCTCAATCTACTGATAATTAAAATTTGACGATATCAATCACACGCATGTTAAATTTAAGTTTCTTCGAGATCAAAATAGCTACAATCATTAATAATAAAAGCTATGTTTTCTTTATTACTTTTGTGCGATTAGTTTTATATCGTTCCCCCAAGGCGGAAGACTGGTAAGATCAAAACACGTGAGAACGGCCTCGCATCGCAGATGCTGCATCACGCACGATAGCACCTTGTGCGGTGATGCAACAAGCGGTAAACTATAAGCATTTGAAAGGAGTCAACGCTATGCGCTGAGATCGCAATGATCTATAATGCAGGGACTAGTATGGAAATCTCGCCGCACTATCTTGCAAATTAACTTCCGATACGCGATGGTAGTAGATCTTGTATAAATCATGTTGATAACGAGACGATACTTGTGAATCAAGTATAAGTATTTTCTATTACATTATTATAAACCAATAATAGCAAAGATATGTACAAGCGTACAAATATTTGAAGTTATTGATATTCATGCCGTTCAATTATAATCGATTTCTTACATTTTGCGCAAGATATGTTAACACTAGAAATACCAATGTTTGTATTCATTAATAGGACCAAGCGAATAACTTACTATGAAAATAAAGAACATAATAAAAAGCAAAATATTTTATCAGTACAAAGGATGTAATTATTAAATTACATCCTTGTAACTAAAAAATCAAAAAGAACCTTTTACAAGAAATATTGTATTTTTATATACTTTTATAATATTAAAAAAATAGAAATATTAATAATGATCGTTTGATACTTTTAGTGTTAAGCGATTTTTGTTGCACAAAAGCATATTATACTTATAATTAGTAAATGACAAAGATTTCAATTTTTAAACTACGTTTACAATATAACATAGTTTATGAATAAAACCTAGTTGATAGAAACATGTAATGAAAAAGACCTGAATTCAATCATACATAAATGTGTATCGTAATGGCTTGTATAACAACTGTTTATTTTTGCGAATGTACGCCTGGGGGTTTGTATGCACACTGCGTTCTATGTGCTTGCATCATCTGTTCGAATACCCGTTGTACCGCCGTATTAACTTTTTTTTCCCCCGATCTCGCTTGTCGCCGAGCAAAGCAAAAGAAGGGAATACTTTTCACTCGACTGCGTAAAGATTTACTACTAGCGATCGAGCAAATGTACTACGTTAACGCAATCTAATCATGTTTTAACGATCGCGAAAACAGTCGTTCGCACAAACTAAAAAGTGCGCGTTCGCACTGATTATGCCTGATTATCAGTATAAACACCGGGATCGTCTCGCTCTGCTATGCTTTTTACGGCTCTTAAATGCCGGCTTAAATGCTTGCAGGGAAAGACGTTTCAGTGGCTACGGAGTTTACATTACTAGATTGGATGTAATATTTGGAGGTTTCAGTTATTTTGACTGCATTTATAAATCGCGTCTCTCTCTTTTAAAGTAAACATGATTTTCTTAACGCAATTTCGTGTCTTATTCTATTTAATTTATATCATAGCTGATAAAGCAATCGAGTGTAGGTTTGCAGATGTATAATTGTAATTTACTGCATATCTCTCTCTCAACTCGAATTGCAATTTTCGGAATTAGAGTACCACAGAAAGTAACGCTCGTCTAGTTTATTTAATCCTACGTGAAATTTATTCTATTCATCTTTTCTCTGACTAGTTGGTTTGTATTTGCACGAATTACACCCCGAGACATCGCTATTATTACTTGACATTTCAGATGACTCTTCATTCGTTTCGAAACGTGAAGAGAAGCGAGAGTACCTTTGCGAATCGGAGGAAGGTGAGCGACGTATGTCGCGGTACATACCTGTATGAGGTGGGCAAGGAATAGGACGTAGATGGTGGCCGCCCTCATGTCTCTCCCTGGGGAATCCCTCGACTACCGCATATCATCGATATCCCCTGCTGCTGCTTCTCAGCCGCTCCTTTGAGCACTCCTCTGCGCTTTTGGTGAATCCTCCGCTGTCCTCTCGTCACACCGTTGTTTTTGTGTATCCTTCGCTCTCTTTCTCTCACCACTCTCACCGAATATTATTGATCTCTATTATCGGCACACTGCACTACGCAAATCCTTCCGGTTCGCGCACCAACACCGAATATCCACTGATGTCCTCCGCGTGGAGAGACGATCCTTTTTCTTTTTCGCTGAGCACTAAACACTCGTCAACACTTGGTGAATGGAAGACTCGCATGCGTTTTTCTTCATTGTTTCTCGTTCGTAAAGATTCTCGAATCCTCACTTTTCCCGTGCATGAACGACGTTCAAGAAAGACTCCGATGAGATTCGCATAAACTCCTTCGCATGTCGCTCTTGCGACGCGATACTTTTCGCTCTCGAGAATACTCCAATTATGAGTGTTACGAACCTGCGATATCGCCGCGATGCGATCCTCTTCTCTCGTGCCTCTTTTTTCTTTCGCTCTACACTTGGTTCGTCGGTGTGCAAAACTAATCGCAATTAATTACGCGATTAGTGTCAAATTCGTTGGACAGGAGAAAGCTATAAGCCTAATGATCACAAGCGCTGCTTCAAGACTCGACATCTATTTTCTTCGATGCACGCACAAATTACGCGATGTCCAACACGTGTCCTATATGTACAGGTAATATGACAGTTCAAAATCGATTTGGGACGTTAGTAGCGTCACGTGTACTTTTCCTTCCTAGAAATGTAATTAAAGATAGATCTGATTTCAGTGGATGATTTTTCAATCGCGTTGACGTGTTACAGTACATGAAAGATGAGAACAATTTGAAGCTCGGGCTGTCAGATAATTCCAGTCACATCTTATGCGCCAATTAATCCTCGATGCGCGACGGAGGAGGAGGAGGAGAAGGAGGAGGAGGAAATCTCGTGGGAATCGTTTACACTCCGAATAAAAACCGAATAAAAATTTGTTTATCGTTGCAAAACGCTCGTCGTACACCGATACACTCAGGTTTATAACAATCCTGCGGTCCTCTCTGATGAAGCGACTTCCTCAAGATCCTTGGAAAAGGAAAGAGATATCTAGGCACTTTATACGTCGGGAGGAGGAGATGTGTGACACTGCTTACGTACACGCGTGACGTACCGCGAGAGTCCGCGAGATCGACCGTCCGGCGTCGGCGCCGGCGCGGAAACGCGCGTTGAACAGGTGTGTGCACGTGTCCAGCGTACGTGCTAGCGTGTGCGTATACAGCGTGCAACGCGCCTTCGCTGTGTGCGTGGACACGCACGCACGCCGCTTAGTAGCCGGCGCGGGCGTACATAAGGATGTATGTATACGTACACGTATATACGCGTATATATGTGTGTGTGCATGAATGTGTGTACCGTTCCTATCACTGTAGGTGGAGCACGCTGGAGCGCGGAAACGCAGTAACGTCCGCGGGGTACACGACTCGGTCGCTCCGGGGATACTGAAGTTGGAGCCGCAGGCCGGCCTGCGGGCCTCCCCCCTATCCATCGCGGCTTGTCTCCCCCTTCTGTGTAGCCCCCTTCCCAAGTCATTCCACCTCCGGGAGCACCAAGGACCCCTTTACGTGTACCCCGCGCGCTCTGCGCCTCTGCTTCGCATCCTCACGGGGTCCTCTCTCTTTTTCTCCTCCCGCATCGCGCATCACGACTTTACACACGTTCGCCGGCGCTCTCTCTCTCTCTCTCTCTCTCACACTCTATCGCAAATCCACCTCGCATATGCGCACATGCGTGTGCATCGGAGCACGTTTGCTCGCGCGCGCATACGTGACTGTGTGCGCGCCGCGCGAACATCTCGAGGACTCTTTGCTCTCTCTTGCCTTGCCTTTCTATGAGGCATTACACGACGATGTACACTTGTGCCCTCCGTGCTAGGATGCTGGGTCCAGCTGAACACGAGCGAGCACGTCCGTATATAAGTCTTACAATCGGTTTCATCACGAGCGGCATCGCGAAGTCGGTAACACCGCGAACGGTTGTGTATTCTCACCTCTTCTCTCGCGATCGAAATGAAAAAAGCGTGGCTTAGGCCCCCTCTTCGAGCTGCTGCTCGTGATATGAATTTCGCGAGATTGCTCGTCAAGAGCTGCTCTCTGGGGTACCGTCCAATGAATCATATCGCTGTTGCAACGCCAAAGAAATATAAATTTCATTAGTATTGCGGAAGAGTAGCGAATCGATAAACGCAATGAAAATTGTGGGAATAATAAAATCTCGTTTGTTTCCGTAAGCAAAAATTATGTGACAGGATATTTACCAAAATCTTGTAAAAAAATTCTCTGAGTATTCCCGGATTTTCTATAGATATTTTTGTTCAAGATTAAGGTAAAATTAGAGAATTTTTTAATCTAATTTTAAAATAAATTTGGAATACAAGTGACGCAAATAAACTATATATTAAATTAATAGACAGGGACATTCTATAAGATTGTATCTATCATTTTCTACAATTAGTGCTGCGAAACCCATTTAAATTCCAATTCCCTGAATACAGACAAAATTCCAATTCTTGAAAATCCTTAATATTTCAAGAATAAAAAAGAAATCCCTGAAAATTCCAGATTTCCAAGTTTTTCCATGTAGTAAACATCCTGTATAAAAATGTTAAAGAGTGACATTTATGCGTAAATAATAATCTCAAATAAGAATTATTTTGTTAATAATGTTTTTAATAATAAAATCTTCACTTTTTCGTAGCAAAAAGTTAGCGCGTAGCTGTTGGTCATGATGTTTTCATTTAAGAAATGAAAGAATTCGCAAAATGTACCGATGACTGGGTTAAATTTGAAGATACAAAACTATTCACAAAGTACTCTGTTTGTAAATTGATCATCTTTTCTGAGATAAAAAAGTGTTTAAATGTCGCTAATAATCATCGTATCGAAGATCGGTTGTTTATCGAATCAGAAAGGTGAGTTCCCGGTAGGCTCCTTCGACTGGCAAGATAAAATTATATATATTTACGAAGAATGATTTTGGATGCGATGAATAATGGATAAGTCCTGTGATGTCGCGTGTCCATCGTCATTATGTGGCTAGCGGGCAATGCCTTTCGTAAAAGAGAGATGCCATCACTGTCGCGTCGTGACGATCGTCATTGAATTTCTGCCCCATATACATACTACAGTATGTACCGTTCCACGTAATTCGCGTGTCGAGAATATCGTGCGAACTGAGAAGCCGAGTTAAATGGCTATAAATTATCGCTGCAATAAGAAACTTCTTCGCTGATCTCCTTTCAGGAACTACATAGTAATGACGCATGTCACTTTTACGTGATACGACGTTTGGTAATCGGAGAATTATAAATGCATGCGGATTAACATGTAGTACTGGATCCTGAAAATTGGTAATTTAGTAACATATAAACGATAATATTTATAAAAAGCTCATAATAGGAAATTCTCAGACCGGTCATAACAGAAAATTCTCATTTTTGAATTTATATGAAAGCACACATTCGCACGATTAAAAACATTTACCATAAATAAAAAATAATTTTATTATTTCTGCAATTCTAAATTATTTTACATATCTTATACATATATTAATGAAAATTTATTAAGACAAGCTCGCGCACTTCAGTCATTGCACCTTTTTTTGGCAAATCACTAAATATCATTAGTGATAAAAAAGCATAAAGAGAGTTGATAGAAAATTAAAGAAGCTAAATTTGAACGACAAAATTCTAAGTTTCGAAAAAAAAAAAAATTTTATGACGCTTGCGCCAGTTTTGATTAGCATGGTCATTACAATTACAGCGGAGTTCTCTCTTCGATTGAAAGAGACTGTAACGGACAGTATAGAGCAATGCGCGGTGGGGCATTTATTCTCTCTTTCTACTCTTCTGGCGGCAGTTTCTTGGATCCGACGACGACCCGGTGTGGTAGCGCAGCAGTACGGTGTACCGTAGTCCACATGGACGAACGGGCGAACATCAGTAGTGGGATGATGCTGCTTGGTCCACGTTCATCCGTCGTTCTTTCCTTGTCTCTTCCTTCTCTCTTGTTCGATCTCTCCATTCTCCTCTATCCTTTTTTTATCTCTCATCGTCTCATTTCATCCCGTTTTGCTATCCTTTATCCTCTTCTTACTATAATACTAGATACATCATTTTTCTCGCTCTCGCTTATACTTTCCGCCTTCTTCTTGCTTTTCGTCTCTCTCTTTTCCTCGTCTCGGAGGACTTGCTTACTCGAGGGCCTCGAGTTAGCCGGCGGGCATTATGGTGGCTACTCCGTTGGCTTCTCGCGTCTCGCGAAAGCTCACGAGAGAGTGTGCCCCCCGAGGGTCAAGGAACTCCCTCGGGAACAGGTTCACCTCCTCCCCGTCTCTCTCTACCCCTTCTCTTTCCTCTCCTCCGCCTCCTCTTCCTCTCTCTCTTTCGCCTTTCGCCTTTCCTCTCTGCGCCGCGCATTGCCAACCCGCCCTATGCCCCCTCCGGTTCGTACCTTAGGGTTTTACTTATTTTCTCTTATTACCGCCGTGGGCATGTAGGCATGTTCACACACACACACACACACACACACACACACACACACACACACACACACACACACACACACACATCTACGAATTGAGCTTATACGTACACGGGGTATGATCCACCTCGAGGTTCACCGGACTCCCTCCGTCATACTCAGCGCTGTTCCTCTCGTCTTCCCTTCAGTGCTTCTCTCAGGTACTCCAATATGTGAGCACATTATTACAGAGGCGCAAGAGGAGCGGGAGGAACGCGAGAATCATGGGGAGTCTCCCGCAAGGGAGCAAAGACGAGGTGAAACGCACACGCGTTCTCTCGGTAGATGAGGAAAACGCACGAGTGAGTGAGCGTTCACGCAAGGGTGTTTAGGTGCGATTCCCTCTCCTCACACGACCCTTCGTATACTCCTCTTCCTCACTTCCCCATCCTCCCCCTCCAGCTGTCGAGCTCTCTGAGAGCCAGATACGAGATTCCACCTGTGCTGCCTGATATGCTGCCGTTGCTGCCGTGCTCATCCTCCTCGTCTCTTCCATGTCTTCTCCGTGTCGTGAGATCGTTTCGAATTTGCTGGATAGCTCATCCTTTCTTCTTTTCCTGTTTTCTTAAAAGCCTGCGGCTCAGGTTTTAAAGAAAACAAGAAAAGAAAGAATTGAGAGATTATGGTATTCAGATGAGAAAACTTGTGGATTTTCTGTACGCAATACGTATGAATCGATGAACGGAAGAAAAGCAAAGGCTTATAATAAGGGTTATAGCGGTCCTCACACTTCGCAATTCTCGCACGTCTTCACCTTTCGCCATCCCAACCGTCCGTTAAGAAATTGCCTACTCGTATTCACACGCATTCAGCGGCTTCCTTGTCCCTGGTCTCGTTCTCCGCGAGATCGTTCCGAATTAACCGAATACTGCGGAGATTTTTAACATCTTGACTCAAATGACACGGGATGGTGGATTATGTGGGCCGGTTCGGTGATCGTGAATATTTTGATGTTGCAGAGATATCAACGTGGCAAAAATGAAAGAATCATAAAGTTACCTTTGCTTGGCCGCTTTCCTTTTTATCAGATTTCGCCGGATTTTTTTCTCGAGCTGTGCAATTTATCAGGATCGTCCGTTAAATAAATGAATACTATGTATATTATCATTTTGGTATTTATGTGTACACGATAGGTACTTTGAAAAAGTATTTTTGCAACGAATTCTATATAATTTTCTCGCGCTTGTCATCGACAGAATTCTAGACACGTTATTCTCCCTGCCTTCTATTTTCATTATTCATGAATTTACGTTTAAGTTTCTGAAGGGCTTTCGCAAAAGTGGGAGATGTAATGGATACGCGACGGGGCGCAAACCGCGCGGAGTGTACACACACGCAGAAGGATTTTAATGATCTTTCTTCAGGCATTCGTCCGACTATAGATACCAGATTCCACATGGACCGCAGCCGTACGTTGCTTCGAACTCGGCTGCATCCGCAGCCTGTTTCGAGGACGCGAGCTTCTTATGTACTCTTACTTTCTTTCTTGTAAAACTAATCTA